AAGTTATATGAATGACTAATTTAAACATCTGGAACTTGGTTCTAATCTTTTTGGGACTCCATTATTTTAAGTTGCATAGAGTTTCAAAAAAAATAAACTAATTAAAGGAACAAGATTTCTTTTCCATGTTATTTACCTGGGTTGCCTAATATGATGAAACAAATCCCATAGGTTTGTAACTCTATTTATAACTTGATTTTCAGTGAGCAGGTGCTGCACCTGTGGCTTGAGGTACTTTGCTCGAGTCTGCAGACAGTGGAGAAATGGTTCCATCCCTGGTCATTTCTGCGAAGTCCTGGCTGGGTACAGATCAAGTGTGAGCTCAGGTAAGTGGCATGTTTTTTTCTGCCTTCCATATTACTGTACTACCAGATTGTGTTTTCTGGAAACTACACTCTTACCTAAATAAATTCATACCAATTTGATGCAATGGAGGTAGGTATATTGTTTAAATATCTCACACTCCAGTGTCCTTGAGATTCTCTTATGTTGCCCCTCTCTGTAAGGAGGCTAAACCTATTTGAACAGTACAGTCCCAGGGACTGATGACCTGAATGGGATCCAGAGGGAACCAGGGGATATCCGGAGGGCTTTGCTGCACAGGAATGCTGAAACTTTGGTTACATCTGGAACCAAATGGGCACCTGAAGCATTGGCTTGGACAATGCCTGTGCAGCTTCTCTTGACCCGTCACTCCTAACACTCCCCATGGCTCACGGAGAAGCCGCATGTTCCAAAAAGAGCTAAGAGACACCTAGAGGAAAATGTGAGATCAATCCTATTGGACATGACTTATTGCTGCTATTAAGGTCTACCTTGTGGCTAGAGTGGTTTCTGTTCTCATTGCGTATGTAGAGTGTCACCCAATGACCCCATCCAAGAGGTGTCCTGGGACAGGAGGGCTCATGTGATTATCTTCAGGGCCATACAGAGGAATTTGTACAACACTTGACAAAGTCGCTTGGGTTCCTTCCCAATTGGAATCCATGCATGGTGACGGTCCATTAGAGATGTCTAGGTAAAGGTTTTGCCCAGTTATCTGGAAACAGTTCCATCCTGTTGGATCTGATAAAGTGGACAGGGTCTCAATGCTATCAGTGCAAACACCTGTCAATTAGTTCCTTGTCCCTGCTGGCTGGTGAAAGCATCCAAGATGGTGACAGGCAGGTGGGTTCAAGCAGAGATTGATTCCTCACTGCAGGAGGGGATGTTTCCCGGACCTTTCAAGGAGGCCCTGGTTCACCTCCTCCTCAAAAAAACTCTCTTGATCCTATCTAGACAATTTGTCCAGTCTCCCACCTTCCCTGTTTAGGGAAGATGGTGGAGAATGTGGTTGCATGGCAGCTTCAAAGAGTCATAGATGAAATATACGGTGTGAACTCCTTCAAGTCAGGATTCAGGCCCAGTTATGGGAGAGAAGAAACATTAGTCGCACTTGTCAATGATTTCTGACAAGAGTGAGATGGATGAGGTGCATCCATCAACTCAATGTTGGTTGTTGGTTATTACCTATAAAGCCCTCCATAGCATGGCTCCAGGTTATCTGAGGGACCAGCTCATCTCAGTGGGATAAGCCTACCCCATCCATACCAGCAGAGGAGGCATGCTGCAGACCCTGTCAGTCAAGGAATCTCAGCTGGGAGGGTTCAGAAGAGCTTTTTCTGCTCTTGAAACATCTCCCCCTCCCCAAGTAAGATCTTATCTTCTGAAAGGACTTGAAGACTTGGCTTTGCCAGCTGGCCTGGGGTCCCAATGGGGGAAATGGCATTTTGGAAGTGGTTAATGGATTAGTCAGACCCCACTCCTCCCCATTGCACTTTTCTCCCTTCCTTTCCATTGTCATTAATTGAACCTGATCTAAATTTTAACTTATGTTTTTTGTTTAAACATTTTAATGTTTTATATGGTATTTTATTTGTATGATTGCAAGTCACCTAGAATTGTCTCAGCAAGACGGGATGTAATGTGGGGCACTGTTATGTCACCAAGACCACTTTCCCAACAGACTAGGGTTCACTGTACTTCTGGCCACCAAACACCAAGTGAGGAAATGGAACTAACCCATTATCATTCTGTACATAAGGTTTGTCAGTCAAATTAGTCAATAGAAAGCCAAAGTTAAAAGAGCACTGCTGAGCATTTGCCATGAATGACAGAGGTTGATTGATAGGTAATTTTGTTTAGAGGCTCAAGGCTACATATTGACTATAGATATAGGAAATCTGGCAAGAAACTCACTGTACACGTATAGGAAAATTAGAATAAAATACATTGACTTTCAGATGCTGAGCGTTCCAGTTTACCTTTTCCTTTGTTCTTTTTACAATAAAAGCCATTTATATAAATATCTCCAGAGCAGAAGCTTATTGTGAACTGGGCTTTTTTGTTCTGTGGTGGTGCAGTGGTTAGAATGCAGTATTGCAGGCTAACTCTTCCCACTGCCAAGAGTTTGATCCTGACCAGATCAAGGTTGACTCAACCTTCCATCCTTCCGAGACCCAGATTTTTGGTGGCAATATGCTGACTCTGTAAACCACTTAAGAGACGGCTGTAAAGCACTATGAACCGGTATATAAATCTCAAGTGTTATTTCTATTGCTGTCTTTGATTGTCCTGATTTAATAAAACACAAATATTACTGACCCAAATATATTTTCTTTTGCATAAATCAGGTATTTCTTCCCTGTATAATACTTAGTTGCTTATATTTGTGCAGATCGCCTGTTTTTTCCAGTCTTGAGCAGGGATGGATAACCTAAACCTGGATTTTCTGTAGATATCTGTTATTTGCAGCAGACCAAGCAATTGTTTAATAACCATAAATTAAACACGCTTGCTTGGTTTGCGCAACATAGTAGTATAGAAAATTATGTTAGCTGATTTGTGGGCCAGTAGGTCACATTAACACAAATTGAATTTAAATTTCTGTTTATATAACAATTCCTGTATTGTATTGCTATGCAGTCTGAATTCGTAGCGGAACTATTTGAGATTGGGGCTTATAGCAATGTTACCCAATTCCATTGTCTATGTTGTCTATAGACGAATCTTAAATCCTAACTGCTGGGTATATTCTATCACAGGGTCCTCAGTAAATTTGCATTCAGCCTTTCTCAGGACTGGGAACTCCCAACAAAAAGAGAGGTGAGTATGTGACCCTGCAACTGTACCTGGATTTCTTAGCCCAACTCAGAAATGTCTTACTATCCTTTGCCTCGCATGGGAGTCGGAGGCGCACGTGACCGTGCCTTCCTGTCCTAGCCCTCAAACCCTTTCTTTCTTAGGGACCATCCGTCTGAAGGCCCCGAATCATACATTAACAAGAATTTGACTTAAGATTGTACACTGTTCATAATCTCTTTGCTTGCTTTCTATAGGAGAAGGAGAAGAAACCGCTGAAGGAAGGTGTTCAGGACATGCTTGTGAAACATCATCTCTTCAGCTGGGACATAGATGGGTGATTCCTTTATGAATCCGTGCTTGGACTTCTTGAATGGCAAATGAATGTTTGGCATATATCCTCTCTTCTCCCAGGCAGTCTGCTGGCCCTTTGCGTTTTATATGTCTTTCTGTAACCTGCCTCCCTCCAGTAAACTTCTATTAATTACGATTAACATTTGGCCGCAATTTGCTATAGAGCAGGATTGAGGACCTGTTGTTCCTGCATAGTGCCGACTATAATCCAAGCAGCCCACCTAATGGTGTTGGCTGGCCTTCCAAAGGGCCCAGATTTCCCACTCAATAGCAAATAAGAGGAGCATTTCAAGTGGTTGTACAGTAGTGTTACTTTCCTTCATGACCTATGGTTACAAAGAAATATATTATATTACTTGGGCCCTGTGCTTGTGGAAGACAAACATTTACTGACTCGTAAGTGTATTTAAAAACAATGGCATAACTAGAAAGTGAAGGATCCCCTAAGGTAACCATCTAGCCGTTACATTTCTTGTGTCCAGGAAAGCAGAGTGATGGTGGAAAAGTTCTGTTGAAATTTGCCTCCTTTGTGGAAAAGGCTTTATTTTGCAATGCAGAGAATGCAAGCTCGCTTTACTAAGAGTCTGATAGTGTGGAACTGGTATTTTTTTTCTTGGTGCTAAGATGCACAAGTGGCTTTGGTACTGCCATAAAGTGCCTAAAAAGACTGTCCGGTGACTGAGGCTGCCATGGGTATTATAAAAAACGATTGCAATAGCAGTCTGTCCTTTTCATTCTGTTCAGCTGTGATCCAGGCTTAATTATTTTACCTAGATCAATTTTTTTAATTATTACAAGAGAACTATATTATATTCAGAAATTTATGTATATTTTGACATATCTCTAGTACGGGAAATGGATTCAGGCTTTGAGCTGGCTCAGGGGATAACTGCGGCTTCTATCTGAGGGTGTGAGCAGGGAGTGCAGGGCAGAAGCACTCTCTCTGCTTCATGGTATCTGTATTAGTCCAAATACAAGAAATGAAGAGCACTAGTGGAGAGCACAATCAAACCATTAAATGAAGATTAATCAAGATTGTATCATTTTTGGCTTATAAATTAATGGCTCATCTTGTAACTGTCTAAGACAGGCTAAATGGGAGTGAATTTTTATATATATTAGCCTGTTGTTCTTGTTCTTCATATGAACTACAGAGTATTAGTCTTACTGAGTGGGTCTGACACTTTTGTACCAATATCTCGAGACACTGTATTTCATGTAAGGGATGAATTATATATCTAGATGCAGTGTTTCTAATTCCATAAATAGTACTCTTACAATCATAGCTTTTCCCACCCTTTCTCTTCCTACTTGTGGGAACAGAGGCAAAATATCAAAAAGATAAAACACAGGTATAATTAATGCTGGTAGTGGAGAAAAACTTGCCACTTAAATTTTGTGTCAATAGCAATACCGTGAAGTAGTTCTGTGTTATTCATGTGCTAAATGCCTTTGTCTGTATTTTCACCATGGCAAATACATGTTATTGATAATGCCATGACCAAAGATAAGATGTACAAAAATGATAGAACACAATTTTTTTAATAAAATGGATTTTTCAAATATCTGTAAATGAAAAAATAATTTGATTTATCCATTCTTTACCCTTCCCCAATTTCTCATTACATATTCTTTTCCAGTTGCATGTTCATTCTATGTCAAATCCATAAGCCCTACTTAAGACTCCTCCCTGTGTTGCTAATTACTTTTGTTGATGTGTACAGGAAGAAAATGTGCATGCTGATCTAATACATGTTATACAACTATGATTATCAGCAGAAAAATGCATATATTCAAATTAGAGGCAGATTCTTATTTACTGTATGGGGTAAAAGGAGAATTTAGACAAGATAAATGAGATACTACTTTATACACTGGAGAAAAATGGACTGATGTAAATCCCAATTCCCCCTTCCATGACAAGTAATATCTCAAAAGCCTTTTAAGTATTAGTAGTGTTCTGTCAAAGCTTTTCATTTTGTTTTTCTAATTTGTTTATGGAGAATAGTTTCTTCTTTCAGAAACAGACAGTTGCTGTCATAGCACCTTTTGAGATAAAGTCCTCTTGTTTGATAGCTTGTTTACTGTTCTCAGACTGAGGGGAGATGCAAAATGCTCATACTGATCTAACTGCTCCCACCCACTGATATGGTCCTAATGTAGGTTATACAGTTTTATTATCCAAACTATCCAAAAACTAACTATCTTTGCAAACTAGCCACTAATTTATCTGATTGGTTGCATGTCCTGCAGAATATAAAAGATGAATACATTCAGCAATTCTAACAATCGGATTTCTGCAGAATGATTTTTAGAGAAATCAGCTTCACTTGCAGTTATCTACTCTAGGACTCTGGCTAGTCACATAACTGCAACTGACTTTTCAAGATGAGGCTCTTCATCATGAAGGGGGGGGTATCAGGATGATATAAACTCGGAAGTAAAGGAGTTTTTGGAATTCCATGAAACTAGAGTAGTGGGGAAGAAGCTTATGCCAACAGATCCATGAGTTCTTCTCTACGGAAAGGGAGATTGACTAATAATATTTAATGGCATATGCAAAAAAGTTAAACTGGTAATCCAAGGGCAAAGTATGTGTTCCAACCCCGGTTTTACAAAAAGGAGAAGCTAAAGGGAAGCATCACCTTATAATGAATGGATTAATTTGATTAGCTTTCTAGAACAGTTTTATAGAGATATGTACAAGTTTACTAAGTAAAAAATAAAGCCAAGTTTCAAGAGGAAAGACTGGGATTTACAACCACATTTCACAGTAGCAGGGGTTATGGCTACGTAAATTTCCTCTGCATAATAGCACATGCATCTCCATACCAAATGATCTCCTTTTTGGAAGAAAGTTGATGTGTATGTTCCTTGAGGTTCTTATTTTGATTGAAAAGTGTAAAGTGTTGACATCAGCCAAGGTATCCAAGGAGAGGTACAACCACAACTGCTTTAAATGCAGCGATGTAATGCAGAGATTATTTTCCTATGAACCCAGTTGCCAATACAGAGGAAGCTATATTATCTGTGCAAAAACAGGGAGGACAGCTAAATCTCTCTAGAAAGAGCAGAGCATTGCAGCTCAAATGCTGCAGATGTTAAGACTGCTAATCAGTCAGTTCAGAACTCCATTTCTTTAAAACAGCACTATGTTCCATAGCTGGAACCATTAGAATAATTTCTAAAGGAATTGCAGAAAGCTGAAAATACTGTACTTTGTACAACTGTCTTGACTCATGGCAAATCCTGCCTGGTAAGATACCAGAAACAGAATAATTGTCCCTCTGTTTATTTTACATTGGGGCAATCCAGAACAACGTTAAAGAGCAAGAATTGTTCTCTAAGTTATAATATAATGTGGATTTAACTTTCTTAATAGACAGGAAGCGCATATAATACAGCATTATCAAGAAAAAGTTTTTTTTAACTAGACTGTAACCCTCCAAACTGATTGTAAACTTCATCAGTATGAATTCATCCTAATCTCCCACTTCCTTTCCCAGATGAGTCATATTCGAAGTGAAAATCTTTACAGTGTGGACAAATTAACTTTTTCCAATGTTTTTAATGCTTTCTAACTAGGTAGATTCAACTCCAGGAAGGAGAACTGTATTTGCCAATGATTTTTTCTGGATCCTTTGCCTAGAACTGTTCCAACTTCTGCCAAGCTGCTTATGTTGAAATATTTGCAGTTACTCATACAACTCTGATGCAATTGCTAAATGTTTGAGGAAAGAGCCACATTTCAACAAACCACTGGAAAAAGTGGAAGCTTTCCTGAGATTGAATTTTCATTCAGAAAACATCATGGGTACTTGCCCTTGGCTCTAGCTTTACAAAAACTGGTCAAAACTGGGAGGGGGAGGAGAGGAAAGAAGGTTCATTAGATGCAATTTTTACTTAAATTCTTGCTCATCTCCTACACCCACCTGTACTCCCTTCAGTTTACTTGGTCAAAAAGTTATAAGCAAGAATCCCAGTGCAGCTGCAAATCATGTCCATCAAGGAAATCTGTGGAGAAGAGGCTAGGAGTTGCAGTACTGAGGGGTGTAAGGCTCATCACTGGCCCTCCTGACAGCTCCAACCAATCCATGCTGTCCAAATTGGGTTCTGCCAAGTCCAAACCTGATCCCCCAACAGACTCGGGGGCAAAGTGCAATTCTGATGTGTCCATAGGTGATGATGGATGGTCCAGGATAGCTGAACTGCTTAGCATCTCACTGTAGAGATCAATTAGGGGCTCAGTTCCATCAGGGACTGCTGTCAACAAAGAGAGACCAGTGGTACTCTCTAAGAAGTCTTCCAGTCTGCCTGGTGGATTAACAGAGTTTGGGTGACTCACAGGCCCCTGCAGACAAAGCTCTGAGGAATGATGATTGCTAGATGGAGAAGGGCATCTTGGGGTAACAGTGGGATCTTTCTTTGCTGGGGAAGACTGCTCTTTGAATTGAGCTGAAATCTCTATTGGAAAAAAGACATGTAAATTAGGTATTACGTACACTCTAACATTAATGATACAGCCATTAACGCCTTACTACTATTGCAGCACTTCAGAAATTATACACATCCTTGCCACCTTCAGAAGACTCTTGATTTCATACCAGTGACAGGTGAGGCTTTCTCTCATGCATCCAACAATCATTTCCTCATTCCATTCACTCACCCTTTCATCTTGTTATGCTTGTTTAAGGCACCATGACTTACCTCAAAAGTTTAGCTTTTCACTTTTGGGGGAAAATGTAAGCTTCTATTAATTGCCTCTAATCATCAGCTATCCATTTCCCCCAGTTCCCACACATGATTTGGAAACCAAAGCTCAAAATGTGACCCAGTATGATCTAACAGCTTCTGCAGACTCTATATACACTGTGTTATGTTACCTTACAACCTTTCTTCCCTGGCAGGCCTTTTTCTTCCATTAGCATCAGTATTGTGTGGGAAGCCTAAATTTCATAAGAACTGGAGCACTTGCAGTCTGCTTCATTCTGCCCCAGCACACTTCTTCCTCCAGCAGACTCATGGTAATGAGGGAGGAATGGAATACTTGGGGGGGAAGGGGGGGCGCACACAAAGAGACTTTAAGGATTATTTATGGCCTTTTCCCTGGTGCTATAAGGAAAAATGGCCCTTCCCTTGTGAATTGATACATAAAGCTGACAGGCACACTCTTTTAAACGATTGGGCTAAATGCAGTAGAAGCCATACAATCCATCAGAATGACAGACCGGAAGTTCCTCTCTTCATACCTCCATGTTCAATTAAAATATCAAACAAATCATCCATTTGCTGACTTGAGCAGCCATTCTCCTAAAAAAGAAAGAAGGGAGTACGTTTGTTAACGTATTACATTCAATAGCAATGCAGCAATTTATACATTATAATAATCACCCTGTGGTCAAATAATCAATATAATATAGAACAGGATATGCTAACCAAGAGTTTTACCCACATCTTCTTTTCTGCTATGAAGACTATATATGAAAAATGGCAGAAGATAACCTTCAATGGTGTAAAGTGGATCGATCCAATATATGAATTCCAAAAATATTAAGATAATTTGCAAAAAGGATAGATCCACACCAAGTGGCTTCCTAATTTGTCCCAGCAAAACAGTTATTCTCACCTCAGAGGACTTTGGTTGCTGTTTCACAGCCTCCTCGTAGCCTGGTGGTTCTTTCATCACCACTGAGGTGGCCGGGAGAAGCAGTGGTGACAAAGCGCCGAAGAAGGACGGGCTCTGCTTCTGCTGCTCAAGGTCCATATGGGGTGGAGAAGGAGGAGCTGGAGAGTTTGGCTGCGAGAGAAGCTGTGAGGGAAAAACAAGTAGTAGGCGGTTGCAATTCTTTGAAACCAACTACAAAGCAAATGTTCAACAAAGTGTTTGATGATGTTGTCTGGCTGCTCCAGTTTTTACTTTTTTCCTCTTCCAGACAGGATGGCCCATTCTATCACTCACTACCCTTGGTAATATCATTTAGATAATGCAATCTATGCCTCATCCAATTCATGATGGATTTCTTTACCCAGAAAGCTCTGTATTCTCTTATATATTAAAATAATTTTCTCTTAACTCAATAAAGTTTATATGATAAACTTCCTATTAAAAGGCTAGGTAGAATTTCTAAGAAAACTCTTAATAGGACTGTTATATCTACATCATGAGGGACCATAATAGTTACATCTATTTGTTTCACAATATGCACAATCCATCAGAAATATATAAGATTAAACCAGTGATGGGATTCAAAAATTTTTACTACCGGTTCTGTGGACATGGCTTGGTGGGCGTGGCATGACTTGGTGGCCATGGCAGGGGAAGGACACTGCAAAATCTCCATTCCCACCCCATTCCAGGGGTGCAAAATCCCATTTCCTCCCAATCAGCTGGGACTCGGTTCCGAGAATAGATGGGAGTGGGACCAGTCAGAGGTGATATTTATCAGTTGTCCAGAACTGGTCAGAACCTGCTGAATACCACCTCTGGATTAAACCTATTCCTCAAATAGATGATATTCCTAATAGCACACCTGAATACGCCCACCTTCAAGACAGCAGGCCTGTTTCTGCATACTTAATGTGATGCCTATTCAAAAAGGTCAAATAAAGAAGAACAAAGGAATCAAAAGAATACTGCCGTATGCCCGTATTTGTATCTGAAAACTAAAAGCTCGTAGGCCAAAGTGGGTAAATGAATGCCTTAAAAATAGTCCTTGAATTTGTATGTTGTATGTATGCCAATGGAGAAAGCTAGGGAGTTCCAGAAAAACATCTACTTCTACTTCACTGACTATGCTAAAGCCTTTGATTGTGTGGATCACAACAAATTGTGGCAAGTTCTTAAAGAGATGGGAGTACTAGACCATCTTATTTGTCTCTTGAGAAACCTATATGCGGGTCAAGAAGTAACAGTGAGAACTGGACACGAGACCACTGATTGGTTCAAAACTGGGAAAGGAGTTCAGCAAGGCTATATACTGTTGCCCTGCTTATTTAACTTATATGCAGAGCACATCATGAGAAAGGCAGGGCTAGAAGAATCACAAGCTGGAATTAAGATTGCCGGGAGAAATATCAACAACTTCAGATATGCAGATGATAACATTCTAATGGCAGAGAGTGAAGAGGAACTAAAGAGCCTCTTGATGCGGGTGAAGGAGGAGAGTAAAAAAGTTGGCTTGAAATTCAACCTTAAGAAAACTAAGATCATGGCCTCCGACCCTCTCAATTCTTGGCAAATAGATGGGGAAGAAATGGAGGTAGTGACAGATTTTATTTTCCTGGGCTTCAAGATCACCGCAGATGGGGACTGCAGCCAAGAAATTAAAAGACACTCCTGGGGAGGAAAGCTATGGCAAATCTAGACAGCATACTAAAAAGCAGAGACATCACCCTGCCAACAAAAGTGTGTATAGTCAAGGCTATGGTTTTCCCAGTTGCAAGGTAAGGCTGTGAAATTTGGACCATAAGAAAGGCTGAGCGCCAAAGAATTGAGGCCTTTGAACTATGGTGCTGGAGAAGACTCCTGCGAGTCCCTTGGACTGCAAGGCGATCAGTCCTAGAGATCAACCCTGACTTTTCTTTAGAAGGCCAGATCCTGAAGATGAAACTCAAATACTTTGGCCTCCTAATGAGAAGGAAGGACTCACTGGAGAAGAGCCTAATGCTGGGAAAGATTGAGGGCAAAAGAAGAAAGGGACGACAGAGAATGAGGTGGCTGGAGGGAGTCACTGAAGCAGTTGGCGTGAGCTTGAATGGACTCCGGAGGATGGTAGAGGACAGGAAGGCTTAGAGGAATGTTGTCCATGGGGTCGCGATGGGTTGGACACGACTTCGCAACTAACAACAACAAGTCCTTGAATTACAACTGCAATTGGACCAGAAACTGCCATTGCTAAACAATGCGCTCTGCAATCGTAAAGCGTAACACCGCATGACCGCGTAGTCTAACAACAGTAATCCAGGCAGTCCTGGTTGTCCTAATTCCACATGTGCGGGTCATTAAGCAGGAAGTGGAGGAAGTCCCAGAAAAAAAATGCAGGGGTGCTGCAAAGTTGTGGGAGAGGCCCTGGGTGGCTCAGCATAGGCTACGTGCAAGTTGGGGAAAGGGGGTGTAGCAGTGTGGTGCAAGCTCAGGAAGGCTGGGGAAAGAGAGCATGGAGTGGGTCCATGTAGGGAGGTCATGGTGGGTGCAAGCAGAGGGGGGAAGAAGGGCATCATGTGTGCAAGCAAAGAAAGATTAGGCCGAGGGGAGACTTGCCTGAGTTACTTGCAACCTTCCCTGCTGGCTTCTCCATTGACTTTGCTTGTGGAAAGCTGGCTGGAAAGGATGCAAATGGTGATCGTGTGACCACAGGGCATTACAACTGGTTGTAAATGTCAGATGGTTGTCAAGTGCCTACATTTTGATCAGATGAGCCTGAGAGCATAGCAACAGTGAGAACCTGGCAAAATAGTTGAAATTGCTTCATTCAGCACAGTCATAACTTCAAATGATTGCTGAACAAATAGTCATAACTCGAGGACTACCTGCACAGATATAGGCATAACTAAAACCTGGTGAACTAGGGTAAATCGGGAGACATAGTTATTATTAGTTACAACCCTATAGGAAAGTTAGGGATAGGTGGGGTGGAGAATGTGTTACCTTGCATTTAAAAAAGACTATTGAATCAAATTAACTTGACACGCCTAATAAGAGCAATCATTTGATGACTAAAAGCATCAGGTCATAAAGGAAAATTAATATCCCCTAATCAAAATGCTCAAAGAGATCTGAAAATTAAAAGAGATATTAAAAAACAACCTGAAAAGTTAAGCCATGTATTTATGGACGATTTCAACTAATCTCAATTTCAATCAATACACTGACTGGAAATTTTGTGTTTGAACCATGGCAGAGAGATAACATTCTTTGATTCAATGAGTAACTGTAAACTGGAAAAGCTGGTTTTGGAACTAATGGGGGGAGGGGATACTAGACCTACTCTTAAGTGATGCTTAGGCTCTTGAGAAATAGATGTAATTGAACCAATTGGGAACAATTCAACATTCAAAGAAGCAATAACATATAGTACATAGCAATTCCAACACACTCATAGCTGACTTCAAAAAGGGAACATCTCAAAATTGAGAAAATGGGTGAAAAAGAAAATCAGGCATGGCTGAAAGTGCAAGCTTCCTCTAGAAATATTTAAGAATATACAAAAACAAAATACAGATATTCTGTTAAATACATTCTACTAATCCAGATGGAATTTCAACCAGGAAAGTTAATCTTTTTTCCTAGAAATGCATCCCTTAGCTTAATGATGCTTAACAGAAACAACTAAATTTCATTTCAGTATGAAACTACACCTGTTTCTTGAGAACTGACCTATAGTCTCTATTTGATCCTGGTCCACACTATTATTTATGCACCCAGCCAACCACCCACCCACGTGCTCATTTGACTTTGGCTCTCCCTCCCATTCTTCACAGATTCTGAGCAGCTTACAATGTAAGCAACCCCTCTCCCCCCAAAAAACAAGTTAAAAATGCAATAGGCACAATAAGCAAGATGGAACATCTGACCATCTGTCATGGAAAACATATACAAAAACCTCCCAAACATATCCAGCAAGCAAGTCCATTCAACCTAAAAACTAAGACATGGGAAAACAGCAAGATCTTTAGCCTTCATGAATGCCATCAGGGTGGAAGCCCCTATAGTTGAGGAGCACCCCTTTCCAGAGAACAGACATTTTGACATAGAAGATATGCTTCCCAGATCCCAACAGATGGTATTATTTAATCAAGGGGATCAAGAGTGTGCCCACTGTTGGCCCTTGCCAGCTGAACAGAAATCATGGGCAATAAGACAGTTCTTCAAATAAGTAGCTTCATGCCATATAGTGCTTTACAGGTGATAACCAACACATCAAATCACACCCAGAAGAATATTGGCAACTCATGCAGCTTGCAAAGCAGGGGTGTTGTGTGGACACACTGATGCAAGCCCATCACTGCCCATTCTGCTGCATTCAGGCCCAGTTGAAGTTTTTGAGAGGTCTTCAGGGGAGGCCTCAAGTAGAATGCCTCACAGTAAGAGATGGTTAGGCATGAGTGACTGTCTGAAGCCCCTTGAGCCACAAAGAGGCACGACTAGCATCACCAGATAGAACTGTGTAAAGATCTTCTTGGTAACCTGACACCCGTTCTTCAAGTAGGAAGTCTGAATTCAAAAAGATCCTCATAAGCACAGCTCTTGAATGGGAAAGTGCAACTCCACCAAAAGCAAAGACAGAAGATCCTAAGAACTAAATGTCTATGAAGAGTCTCAGTCATCAAGGTTATGGCTGTCCCAAAGGTGCTTTTTCAAAAGGCAACTGGACTTTGTTTTTCCCTGAAGCAGTTTCACTTCTCATCCAAGAAGCTTCTTTGGTTCAGAACAGAAGAAGCTTCTTGGATGAGAAGTGAAATGTCTTCAAGGAAAAACAAAGTCTAGTTGCCTTTTGAAAAAGCACCTTTGGGACATCCTAAGAGCTAGGTGGTCCTAGCAGCCGCAGCCACTCAGTCTTGGTAGGAATGAATCAGAGAGAGTTCCTCCCATCCAGCCTACAGGCATCAGGACTAGACCTAGTAGCCTCACTTGGAGAGCCTGGGGTCAAAAGGTATAATTAAGTATCATTAGTGTACTGATGATGCAGGACCCCCAAACTGGTTAGATGACCTAATCCAGTGTTTTCATGTAGATATTGAACAAGAGGCTCATCTTATGGTATTGGGACCCACTGAGAATACCTTTTTTGTCTCACTGGACTGGCCAGTTTTATCAGGAACTCTGGCGTTCGGTGGTCCTTTGTGGAAGCCGTTCAGGAAGAACGGCTGCAAGTTGGGAGATGCAGAAAAAGATAAGATTGTTTGTGGCAGCTGTCCAGTGACCATTTGCAGACCTGACTTCTGACACTATATAAGAGATAAGAAAAAGAATTAAACGTCAGATTCTGATTGGTCCATTGATTTTAAAAAGGAAGAACACCCTTCAGTATGCAAATCAGGGCTACAGTTAGGGCTACAGGTGGTTAGCTACCTTCTGGGTGGACTCCTTTGGTGATGGTTCAGGAGATGATGGAGAGTTCTGTATAGGTGGCTTGTTGGGTGCTATTGCGGATGGAGATGACATTCTCTGAAAAAATAATACAGGATTGAATGTTGTTTCAGATGCCTGGGCAAAAGTTAAAGTAGTAATGCAGCAGAGGGAATTTACTGCGCAGGGAAAACAAAAATTGGGCTTGCAAAACCAATGAATTATCTAGAAAATGTAGATGAGGAGGAGCAGATCTAGTTTAATAAGAACGGACAATTTATGGTTGCTATTACAACAACATGATTTCATTCTGGTAAACTGCTTTCAGGAAGACACATATGAAGTTTTGTTCAAAAGGTTGTGTGTGTTAAACTAAATTATTAAACAAACACTGTTGCTCCAACATTACCTTTACATTAGTTTCTTCAATTAATTTTGTGCCTGTGTGTGTTTGATTGTGTGTGTTTGTGTGTGCATGTGTGTATGAGGGAGAGGGAGAGAATGCACAAGAGTTTGCACATTTACTTACTTTCAGCGGCAATGAACTGCTTCCCACTTTCTCCTGAGGTGAGAGGGTCTGCCTTTCAGCATTCTGATTGGTCACAGTGAGGACTATGTGAGTGCCTGTGGAATCTGTGATGAGGGTAGGGGGGGAAGCTCCCTTGATGAAATCATTGAAGCCCCCACCTTGCTGTCCAATGAAAAAACATGAGGTCTGACATGGTGGCTCAGTTTCAGCAGCTAGCACCTCCTGCTTCACCATCACTGCTTTCTTTGGCACTAAATTTGTATCTGATGTCTCCATTTGGCTGGTGGTCTGTGTGGGTCTTAGTTGGTCAATTTGGCAGTTCAGCTGCTCCACAGATTGGCAACTCAGAAAACCCTTTTCGTTCTTGATAGAGGTACCAAAAATGGAGGGCTCACAGACTGTAGCTCTTTCTTCTCCGACAACTGTAGCTGACAGTGGTTGTTGAGATCTCTTTTCTTTCTCCAGCTGCAGCTTTAGCATCTCCACCAACTGCTGTTTCTGTTTTAACATCCGGGTGAGTTCCTCAATCTGCTTATCTTTCTCCTGCAGCATCTGGTCTTTATCCTGGACCTCCATGTCTTTGCTGTTGTTGCTACTGATTATGCTAGACTCCACTCTTGACATTGCATTTATGCTACTACAAGTGTTACCTTTGGAACTCTCTTCTTTTACCAAAAATTGGACTGGTGATGCTTGTAGAGTAAGCTGAGTCAGAGGAGAAGTCACCATCTCCCCAAAAGCATCACCACTGGTTGAATTGTCATCTCCAGCACTTATGAGAGACCGTTCGGAAGGAGTGGGTGACACAGGAGGAGTTGAGCCTGTGCTCCCAAACTTCATGACTCCATTGCCCGTGACAGTGGCTACAACAACCTCTGCTGAAGTAAGACCCGTACTGACCAGTGCAGGACCTGTACTCAGCCGAGCAGCTGGGAAAGCTACCACCACTTCAGTAGTCTTCGGGAGAATTGCTGTGTTAGGCTTTGGAGCAGCAAGTACTCGGCTGGTTACACCATTCTGCTCTTGATAAGTTTTGAGCCGCTCAATTAAATCTGTCTTAGTACCCGACACAGGCAATGCCCTTAGCTTCAACTCTTGCTTTAGCTCTGCCACCTATCAAAGAGTTAGAATTCTATCAGAAATTATATTAGCTAAGACACCCTTACTTACTAGGGCTACATCAAATCACAGTTGGAAGGTAAACCTGGTTGATACCTCCTTTCAATTCTAATTTTTTTTTAAAGAAAGGTTGCCAAATATTATAAGGCATAAAACAATGAGCACAAAAGTTTCACTTTCAAAGGACAATCCCATCACCACCAATAAATAAAATGTATGGTCAGCATCAAACTCACCAATTTCAGTGATAGCATCACCATCCACTAACCATGCAATAAATAACTTATACCACATTTTTATTAGTGTGGTTAACAAATATTAAAGGCAAAGACAATATACTATTTAAATGAAATGAAGTAAAGATCCTGTACTACAATTTATAATATTGAATGAACAACTAGCCAAGTAATTACATTCTATATTTAGGTAAAAGAAAGCTGATGTAAACATGCAATTTAGGAATTATATTATCTTAAATCTGATCCAAAATTACCAGAATATAGTAGTGCTATATGCAAGTAATTATAGCCTAAATGATGCTTCTGATATTGCCATAATAATGAAAAACCACCCAACAATAATACAAATATAAGATGACTCCTAGATGTTTAAACTGGAGATCTTAGTGCTATAGTGCCTCAACCTTAAGGAGAGCATTAGGCATTATACACTTACAATATTTATCTATTTTCTAATATTTTAACCAGTGCTGTGGAGTCGGAGTCGGAGTCGAGGAGTCGGACTCGGAGGAAATTTTGGGTACTTGGAATCGGAGTCGGAGTCGGAAGTACAAAAAACTGAGGAGTCGGAGTCGGAGTCGAAACATTTATCTCCCGACTCCACAGCCCTGATTTTAACCTTGTTTTATAGCTGCTATATTAGTTACCACATCAAAAGATGGAATCTGAAATACATTCCCTTACATTTTAAATATCTGCTTTGCTGCATATTCACAATAATGTTTATTTTACTTGCATTTTATATCTAATATTTCTTCTCAAAGCAGCTTACAAATGCTTGGTTACCTTCATGTCATCAAGGTTAGCAGGGAGAGCCCCAGGTTTGCCTACTGGAGAATTGCTATTTTGTCGCAAGAGCCCATTGGAACCAGAAGACAGAGAAGAGGCGTTGCTGGCAGCGGTGGAAAGACTGCGCACGGCTGGGCTGCTGTTGCCATTCTGTTCTCCTAGAGGCCTGAAGGGGAAAGGAAGAGTGAATTGAGTAGCCAGCTGCAAGAAACTAGCAACAGAAACTCCAGGCTTTGCTTCCGCACTTCCCAGAGGAGGCTGAATATTCATTGGGGGGCAAAACCCTTGATGTGATCTAACAATCCAATGCTTATAAAATGTATTGGCAAGGTGCCAAGCCCTTAGGTAAAGCACAATGCAAATAATTGCTCCTGGCTCAGTGTTTGCTTTCAGCCGTACTTTGTGATAAATCATTAAAACTTTAGATATTTTCTTCCTTACTTACGTTTAAATGCAGTAGAAACAGAAAAATAAATTGTAAAATGAAGAGATTGTTATAAGGACTTCATATTCCATCATGCTTTTCACCATGATGGAAAGCAGCCATCTAGGGAATTTCTATTAAACATTATCTTTTGATAATGTTAATTATCAATGATAATCACTCTATTCTGATTATTTATTTATTAAATTTTTATCCCACCATTATTACTTATAAGTCAGTCAAGGTGGCAAACATACATAACGCTCCTTCCTCCTCCTATTTTCCCCACAATAAGAACCCTTTGAGGTGGACTGAGTATGCCTGACTGGCCCAAAGTCCCCCAGCCAACTTTCATGCCTAAGGCAGGACTAGGTTCCTGGTTTCTACCCTGATACCTTAACCACTAAACTAAACTGACTATTGTTATTCTGTTATATGCGGGATATATCGGGGTAGTTTACGAAAAACAAGTTTGTTGAGTTTACTGAGAAACAAGTAAACAAACAAATATCCAATTAAATATATGCATTGCTGATTGGGGCACTTTGAAAACCTCTCTCAAAATTACATTGCCAAAGCTTTTCGTTACACTTATAAACTCCTTTCACTAAAATCTTAGACAGCTTGACTATTACAAGTACATCCATAATTTTCACTTACTTCTAACGTTTGTAAACTGCACTCCAGACCAAGTAAACGTTAGAAAGTGAATAAATATGGCTCCTATGATTGAGTGGATTATGAGTTGATTTTATAAATCCCATACCTAGATGGGAATGCAATAGAGAAATAGGCTTCAGTTCTGTTTATACTAAGCTCTTGAGAAGAGGAGGAGGTGGGGGGGGAGGGGGAAAGAAGGAAGAAGGGGGAGGAGGAGGAGGAGGAGGAGGAGGAGGAGGAGGAGGAGGAGGAGGAGGAGAAGAAGAAGAAGAAGAAGAAGAAGAAGAAGAAGAAGAAGAAGAAGAAGAAGAAGAAGAAGAAGAAGAAGAAGAAGAAGAAGAAGAAGAAGAAGAAGAAGAAGAAGAAGAAGAAGAAGAAGAAGAAGAAGAAGAAGAAGAAGAAGAAGAAGAAGAAGAAGAAGAAGAAGAAGAAGAAGAAGAAGAAGCTCTTACTTTGGTGGAGCTGGGAGGATGGTTTGATAGTTGTAGTGCTGTTGGTGCTGTTGATTAAGGATCTGGAGCTGCAAAAAGAGCTGTTGTTGCTGCAGGATTTTGGCATAAGACGAATCCATGGGGGGAGCTCCTTTATCCTGTTTTTGGTCCGGTGGAATATATTGGTGATATTTCAGCTTCTTAACTTTTGGTTTCGGCTCCTTGGATTTTTTGCTACGCTGGGATTTCTCACATGAAGATTTTGGCTGGCTTTGCTATTTGAAAAAAAAAAATAGGTGGTTCAGGATAGGATGGTGGCATAATAAATATAAAGAGTGACATTTTGAGAAATGATTACCTGGTTTAATATCTTCCATACAATTTCTTCATTCTACTGATCTGCTCTAATAAATGTAAATCTATTAAACAAGTATAAAGCTGTTAGCTTTTAACTAGTCCAGGAGTTGCCAAACTTGGCAGCTTGAAGGCTTGTGAACTTCTGGGAGTTGAAGTCCACAAGTCTTAAAGTTGCCAAGTTTGGGGACTCCTGGACTAGTATAATGCTAATCTTAATACATACCAATTATATTATCTACATCAATGTAGTGAACCTGCATGAACAATCCTTAGACCAATTAATAGAACATCATTCCTCCAGAAATTAGACTGGCCCCCACTCTAACACTCTTTAGGGAAGGTCCTGCCAGCAGGCCTGGGGAACCCAATAAATGGCTGGTATGAATGTATGTTGTCGCCAGGGTAGGGGTGGGGTTATTATTTTAATTTTTTATTGTTTTTATTTCTTTTATATTACTTGTATGTCCTGTAAGTTGTCTTGAGTTACCGTGTGCAGGTGGGAGGCAATAAATAAATGTCTATTGCAATTTCATATTAATTAAATTTCTGTTTATTTAATATATGTATTAAAATCCAGGGCATTTATCTGTCAATATTCCATAGATGTCATCATATTCCAAACTGACAGAAAAAAAAAGAGAATGATACAGCAAAGGAAACACATGTCATCAACTCTGATACGTTAAGTGAAAAAAAATCCAGGCTGTTACAAAACTATATCATTTAATGATTCTCATGATACTAATCTACTAGCAAAAAAAAGGATCCTAATGTATCACTATCTTAACTATTCACTTAATAAGGAATTGAAAATGTCGTTGAAAGGTTGATTCATGATCCTGATCAAGTCCAAGTTACTCAGTATCTCACCTAATCGTTAAAAGGAAATCCTTGGCATCACAGACTTCTTGGCTGATCGTAATACATAGCCCTAACACAAAAGGTACCTTTATAAGAGCTGGAAGAGGTTTGGCAGCAGGAGGAGCAATTCCATTAGTGAGATTCAGAGGCACTGGAGGTGGTGGCTGTGGCAAGGGGGTTGGAGGCTGTTCAGACACGTAAGTTGTCTCAGTGCAGTCTGTGCTGATTTTTAACTGGCACACAATCTGCAAAGTAGATGAATATGAATATGCCCAGATGAATTTTCAGAAGACAGAATAAGTAGTTAGCAGGTGACTTCTGCAGTATCGTAAAAAGGCAGACAACTGCTCGGTTATATTTGTGTACTGCAAAATACAGATATGTGGAAAGCCAGTTTCCAGAATCAATCCCACCATACACCAAGAGAGTTAACTTCTTCCCACGGTCAAATCTGAAGAAAATAGGATTTTATTTTTCCACAAAGTAAAACAGCATAAAGGATGTTATTAATATTATTTCAAGCTTCAGTTTGAGAACCACTTTGGTGTAGTGGTGAACGTGCTGGCCTAGAAACCAGGAGACTGGGAGTTCTAGTCCCTCCTTAGGTATAAAAGCCAGCTGGGTGACTTTGGGCCAGTCACTCTCTTTCAGCCCAACCCACCTCACAGGGTTATTGTTGTGGGGAAAACAGAAGGAGGAAGGAGTATTGTGTATGTTCGCCACCTAATAAAGGTAGGGGGGAAAAATCTTTAAAAAGATTCAGGTATCAAGTGTAACCTTTTCTTCCAAGGAAAATACCTTTTTTGCTCGAGCTCCTACAATCAAAAAGTGCAACAAGAAGCAACCCCTAAGGTGTCCTCACCTGAGTAGGGGATGCCACTGTGGGAGTAGGAACTAAATCACTTATCAGAGCTTCCATTGGGGATGGCACAGATGCCTGGGATTCATGGCTAGCCGGTTGTTCTGGAGAAAGGGCATCACTGCTGTCCTCATCGAAGGAGGAATTATCTGCTATATTAGGATAGTTCACTTGACCTACTAAAAACAACAAATGCAACGTTAATTAATTAAAAACAGAGGGTATGGATCACGGATAACCAGCAGGACATTTCTGGGCCACTATAAAATTCCAAGATGGTGAAAAGCAGAGGAACTTTAGACAACTGTGTGTTGTACATATATTATTAGCTTCACCAATTTGCCAAGTATATTATGCTTTCCTTTGTTTAAAAAAGGCATAAAAAAAGAAGCTGCTGTTTTATCCACTCCCCTTATCAGCAGGCTTACCAATGAGAGCTTCCTTCAAGCTCGATTCCACAGGCAGAATGTTTTTCTCTACCAATTCCATGGGGCCCGGTCTCTGGGCAATCTTCTCATTGAGATCATCAGCCAATCTAGCCCGCTTCAACTTCAACTGCTTGGCCTGAAGAGAAGGTTCAGCAGAGGTCTCTGTTCAGCAGAAACAACAAAAACATGATTATTTCTTAACTATAAAACCCATTACAGAAATCAATTCTGTAGTTTCTTTTTGGAGACTCTCAAGCAGTACATAAAAAACCAGCCCTAACTATACTAGTCCTCTAAATAATTTTTAAGAATAACAGAATTGTCCTTCTGACTTGTGCCAAAGGTTAGGTACTGGTTACTCCAGTACCTAACCTGAATCTTGCGAGAAGCCCCAAAGCAGGACACACACAAACAATTCTATTTGTAATAACAGCAACTGGTAGATGGGAATATAGAATATTGTCATTATCAGTTTAGTCTGATGTCATCTATCAGGACCCCCAAACTATGCTTCTCTGCAATAAGGCCAGCCCTCTGGAACAGGTCCAGTTCTAAACCACTCTGCTGTGGTTTAGAAGAACTGTAAAGACCTGACTCTTCAACCAAGTCTTTTAGTGAGGAAGAGGAAGACCCCCTGCTTCATCACACTTGCCATCTTTTACTATAATTTGTTTGTTAGCCACCCAGAGTTCTTGAGAATTGAGTGGCATATAATATCAACACATTATTATTATTATTACTATTATTATTATTATTATTATTACTATTATTATTATTATTACTATTATTACTATTATTACTATTATTACTATTATTACTATTATTACTATTATTACTATTATTACTATTATTATGAAATATGAAATGTGAAAATATGAAATACGTATGAAATCACAACTGCCAGTTCTTTAGATGGTGTTGGCCTTAACATTGAGTACTTCCCAAGAACCTAGGATGTTATAATGAATTGAAATAGCATAGGTTCTGATCCGAAGTGCCCCCAATATTTTTGGGTATTGCACCCAATGTGTCAATAACCACCACAGCTGGTTATGCCATAATCTTTCATCTTTGATTTTCAGCTCTTGATACTTTGTGATCTCCAATTCTTTGTCTTCTATTCTACTATCCCCTGGTATTGCCACAATTATCCATGATTCATTCTCCTTTTCCTCCTCCTTCACTGATAATCTTATTTTAATATCATTAATCTCCATTTAATACTATCAAAATTGGAGCTATCACTAATTGTGGAAACAAATTCAAAAGTTTTAACTCTTCCTTTTTTATCCTGAAAATCCCACTATTTTAATTTATTAGATATCCCAGGATTTCACAAATACTAGAAAGGAAAACATTTTTATGATAAAACATACATAATTTTATACAATTAACCTGTTTCCTTGCTCAATATTTTCTAAATTAAAGCCTTCCACCCACTAGCAGTAAGATTTAATTTTCTATGCAGGTAACCATTTTTATTTATTTATTTATTTTTCTGTCAATCTACTTGGAACTGATGTTAAGATAACTAGTCTGGAATTTCCTGTAATTCTTATAGTTAGTTACAGTATCACAGAATACAAAGGTTGCAAAGAATGCTGGTGATTACCTAATCCAACTTCCTGCCAATTCAAACCCACAAGTGTATATATATCATCCTTGACAGATTTGGCTCCTCTAAGCACCACCACCAAAGAAAAGTCTTTTTCTTTCCCAGGCAATCTTTTCCACAGTTGAACAGCTCTAAGACAAGTTTTCATAATATCAAACCAAAATCTACATCCTTGTAATTTTTTTTCCTTGTCCTATTTTCCAGAATAACTTTAACAATGTTGCACTTGCTCCTAATTAACAAACTTTCAGGTCCTTGAAAACAACCATCATGTCGCCTCAGAAATCTTCTCTGGGTTATGCCAGAGAAGATCCCAATGCCTCCAGCCATTTCTCATGTTTTTCCTTCGAGGCCCCTCATCCTCTTGGTTGTTCTACTCTGGATGCTAGCAATAGCACTTAGACTCCATAGCACTTTGCACCACTGTGGGCATATTGCCCCCACCAATCTGGATCTTCATTTTCCCAACCCTGGAAGGATGGAAGGCTGAGTCAACCTTGAACTGATCAGGATCGAACTCCTGGCCGTGGGCCGAGTTTGCCTGCAATACTGCATGCTAGCCACTGCACCATCAAGGCTCTTTCTACACTCGTTATTAAATATCCCTCCTAAAAGCAGTGTGAACTGCACTGGCTCCCGGTGGTCTTCCGAGTGTGCTTCAAAGTGTTGGTTCTTACCTTTAAAGTGCTCCATGGCTTAGGACCTGGGTACCTACGAGACCACCTTCTGCAACCGATAACCTCCCACCAACCAGTATGCTCCCACAGAGTGGGCCTCCTCAGGGTGCCATCAGTAAAGCAATGTCGGCTGGTGATTCCCAGGAGGAGAGCCTTCTCTGTGGGGGCACCTGCCCTATGGAACAGGATACCCCCAGGGATACAAATGACCCCAGATCTCCGTACTTTCCGTCGTGCCTTGAAGACCTTTCTATTTCACCAAGCCGGACTGGCATAAATTTTCAGTTTATCTAAATTCTACGCTGAGGATCTTAATTGATGAGCCAAATCGATTTAATTATTTTAAATTATTTTTATTTCACATTATATGTATGTTATTCTGACTGTTCACTGCCCTGATTCCTTCCTGCATTTGCTTTCCTTTTTTTTTTTTTGCAACTGTTATTGGCTCCCATATTGCTTATGATTAATCAAGCGAATATTACCCACCACATCCTATATTTATCATATGTCTCTGAATTTTTTTCCCAGCAAAAATATATGAATTTGTATTTGTCCTTGTTGAATTGTTTTGGGCCTTTCTTATAGATTAATTAACTCCTCCTTAAATCTTTATATTGTCCCTTAAGGTGTTTGTTATCTCCCCTGTCTTTGTGTGATCTGCTAAATTGATAACCATATATTCTAACCTTTTACCTAAATCATTTACAAATATATCGTTAATACATTTATATTAATACAGCACAGGGACTAGAACAGATACTTGCAATATATCACTTGACATCTCTTTCCAGCTTGATGAAGAGGCACCAATGTACATTTGGTGGATAAAATTATCCAACCAACTCACTATTCATTTAATGCTTTACTACCTGTATACTATATTTCTTTACCAAAATCTCATGACTCTGTTGACGATAAGTTCAATAAGTCCCTCTCATTTCCACAGTCAACTATCAAAAAAGGAAATCAAGTTGCTTCAGTATGACCATCTCTTGATAAACATATGCTGGATTCTGCCACGCAATATATTCTTTTCTAAATTCCAAGAAAATTGTTTAATAATCAGCTGAGCTGTGATGGGATGTGCACCTGCAGGAGCAGTGGGAGAAAGGTTTTGGCAACACAGAGCTTTCCAAAAAAGAGTCCAGCTTAAGAGACTAAACAGTCCTGAGCTGGATGGGGGTGGAGAAGTTCATGGTAGCCACATCCTCACCTCATTTCATTTTACTTTTCATCAACATTTTCCCTGTTAATTAACATCAGATCTCATTGTCCCTTCTTCTTGGAAAACAAAAGTCAACGAGATCACTGAGGAATTTGAGACAATGTGATGTCTTTCTCAATTTTTTTTAAAACAGATATCGAAATACTCCCATTATTATATCTCTCCTCCCTGATAGCTCTATAAAAATTAGTAAGAGCATTATGCAGATCTTCTGCCTGTCTTGGGAATCTATACAATAACCTTTGCATTCTTACTCGAATGCTACTGACTTATTCAAATGTTCTTCACTCCATGGTCAAATTCCTTATGTGTCCACTTTACATATAATGACCTTCTTTTTTTATTCCTTTTGGGTAAGTGATACCTTCCAATTCTGGCATTGCACTCATAACTTTTGTCCTGCTAGGTTTCAGTAAGTGCTAAAAAATCATATTTGCCTTCCTGAATTAGGAATTCAGAAGAATTACTTCTTCTCATTTTTTGTAAAGAAACTATGGCAACCTTTGTTCAAATATCTTGACTTGTTTTTCCTGTATTTACATTCTCAGTTGTTGCTTTCACATCCTGAATACCCCTTCAATCTGGTTCCCAGTACTTCACATAATATTGTTTCCTGGATCTCTTTTCCCTTCCACACAGAATTCATTGGAGAGCCTGCTAGATCAAACTTACAAGACACTTTTCAGTCTTATTTGGGGGAGAAGCTGAACATCTTAGTAATCTTCCACTTTTCAAAGAATCCAATTGGCACCACTGCTCAACTATCACTTCCAGTATTTTCTCTTTTCCTGGGTCAAACAGAAAGGTGTGAAGAAATCACTACCTGTGACCCTCCAGTTCCTTCACTCTCCTGCCCAGGTCACTGCCTTGCAATGTGTCCATAGTTGCATTTTTGGTGCCATTTCTTCGCATGAACACTAGCAGACAGAGTAGGATTAAAGAACCTTGAATATCTTTTAGTTTTATTCCAAATTCATCCCCCAGGGAAGCAACACAGCTTCTTTTGATAAATGTCCCAGCCAAGATTGCTGCTTCAGTCCCTCTCAGTAGAGAGTACCTGATCACCACTGTTCATTACGTCATGCATAAGCAGACATTATTCCCATTGCAAAGTCTGTACAGTCGCTTTTGCTGCTCTGAGGCTTAGCAGGTGCTGTTCATCCAAGGGTTCATATTAATGAGCATCAATAATAAAATTCTGGAAATTATTCTGAAGCTCTAAATATAAAATCTCATTTGACAGACTTGGGCTTTTGTCTCAGATTCCTCTAATTCTCCACAGTTTGGCATGTTTTAATCTGGGATGCTTTCTACTGTTTACAACTGTCTGCAAGCACTCCTTGTATCCAATTCCAAAAGTTGAGAACTGGATTTTGTCTTTAGCTCTTTCAGCTTCTCCTGCAGCGAACATTCAGATTACACTTGTAGCATGCATAGTTTTCATTGTCTTTCAGAAGAAAAACAAACAAAGCATATTCCCTGCAGCACTGGAGAGCAGTACTACCCCCTATTTCCATGTCTTCCTGACGAATGAAAACAATTGTTTGAAAAGGGCCTTCCCCCTGGATTTTCTTAAAACTTCTGTTGGTTTTTATTTGCTTGATCATTGAGCTACTTCTTAGATCTATTTAAAAGCTGTGTTACATTGGCCATTTTATACTCTGTTCAAAAAAAAAATCTTATGAAATACATGATATAATTTTTGCTACATCAAATAATTTTATAGGTCCTGTATTTTTTGGAGTATAAGACACACCTTTTCTCCCCTAAAAGGGGGTGAAAATTTAGGTGTGTCTTATACACCAAATGTAGATCCGCCCAGTGGTGAAATGTAAAATTTGTTACTAACGGTTCTGTGGGTGGGGGGGGGGGCGGGTGATAGTGTGGGGGGGTGGGGGTGGCCAACTTTTTTTTTTTTTATTTTTAAAAGCATTTTTTCTACAACCATAAGAGGTTACAGAAAAAAATGCTTTTAAAAGCCTCTGACGATCCCAGCTGAGCCACGCAATCATCAGAGGCTTTTTTTTTTTCCTTTTAAAAGCATTTTTTTTGGCTGAAGAGGTTGTAGAAAAAATGCTTTTAAAAGTAAAAAAAAACAGCCTTTGATGATCCCGCGGCTCAGCTGGTCATGGGGGGGCAGGGATTTTTGATACCGGTTCTCCAAACCACCCGCCATCGCTACCAGATCAGGCGATCTGGTCCGAACCAGGAGCATTTCACCCCTGGCCCCGCCCACCCAGTGGCCCCCACCCTTTGGCCTCTGCCTTCCAGCAGTTACCTCCTTGAAGCAAACAGCAAGAAGAAACAGCTCCTTTCAGCTTCAGCACAGCCCAATTAGCACAAGTTGATTCGATCAGCCCCCCGACGCTCAGCAGTTTTGCGTGGGCCTCTGCTGCTTGCTGCAAGGAGGTAAATTGCTGGAGAGATTTTTTTCCCCCCTGTGCTAATCAAGCTATGTTGAAAACGAAAATTAAATAAAGCAGGCTGTTTGCTGTTTGCTGCAATGAGGCAAAATGGCTGGGAGGCAGAGGCAGATTTCTTTTTCTTGTTTTCCTCACCAAAAAAGGTAGGTGCATCTTATAGTCCGGTGCATCTTATACTCCGAAAAATATGGTAATCATTTTAGAAATCAGTGTACAAAGTGATTTAGTTTCTCATTCACATTCTTTTCACCATTCCCTTAAATCTCTTTTCATCAGCAATAACAATCCAACCTCCATACCAATTCCATCTCTTGTTAGCATACTATTATTGGTAATGAGTACTTCAAAATCCTTTTTGCATCTCTTGAGCACCTCTTAACAGAAAACAGTGTGCGTTTTGTTCTCATTTGGCCATAGTCCAAATTCTAGAGGAAGCCATTTTTCTAATAGCTTCCTTGACATTGTTAATCATGCAGATGACCTCTTGTATTTGATAGTACATTTCCTGATCTGCTTATATTTTAGTTGAACCTATATTACTTTCTTTTTCAACTTCCTTTTTCTGAAAATTTTGAGACACTTCTTCTTTTAAAGAAAAAGATGCTTCTTCTTTTGAAGTCAAATATAAAAGCTAGGCTGTGGTAGAATCTCCAACTAGAATGGGGGAGGTGTTAAGACTAGCTTAGAGTTCTTGCACTGCAGAAAGTGGCATGGGCCTGCCTTTCCCCAGAATTCCTGAAGCCTTATCTGACCATTCTCATAGTAAGATTCTTGTAACATAGATGACTAACAATAAAGCTTCTGCTTGTGTTTATTTACAACTGGTTCTTGTTGCTTGCACCTGACAGCCTTTCTGAACAATTTTCAGATTTGCTAATGTTGTAAAACAAAATGCTTTAAAGCTTCACAAAAAGTTCTAAAAACTCTTTAATACAGAATAAATTGCTAATTCAAACTAACAGTTAAGAAACTATTTAGAGATGTATAACAAAGTAAGAGTTATGCTAGAGTTTTAACCTAAATTTCTGTTCTATGACCAACCACATGCTGATGGAAAGCCCACCAGTGGCATATAAGCCCAGCATCTTCCCCTTCATATAAGTCAGCAATATTTATAATTATTATTATCACAGGCAGAATCTGGTAGCATATTACAACTGGCTGTATATTACATATATTACAATAATGGGGATTTTTCTCTACTATAAAGATAGAACTAATGCTTTTATTCTTTAACAATAATTACATTCTTCAGTCTTCACACATGACCAACAGCAATGTATTTAGAAAACTACAACTGACAACTACCTTAAAAACATTATCCCTTAAGTTGCATTACTGATATTGCAAGAGTTATTTAGGCAAGAAGTACTTAGCCCTCACTTTATTAGCCTATCCATTTCTAAAAGAACAGATGTGATACATGAGAACAATGAATGTCTAGTTTGTATCTTTTCAAAAACTTACTAGACAACCATACACCAGAGAATGTACCTTCTAGAATGTGCATCCTCACCAACTCTGATCTCTCTGGTCTGGACCGGATTTTCCGTTTCAAGTAATCCTCTGTCTGCAAAACACAGAAAAATACATTCTAAATCTCAATGAAGTCACAAGACTAAATATGGAATGTGCAAGATTTTTCTGTTAAAATTCAACATGAGATTCCTAAGTAGAAGAAATAACCCTGCCTCAGATATCAGTAGCTATGCTGCTAACGTATGGAGGAAGCAAAAGGTCCATCATATCACTTCTCTTACATGAGCGCACAGCATTTAATCAGAGACTGAAAACCATGAGGGAAATGAAACACAGAGTTTCCAACACTCTTCTGTTTGAAATGTATAGGATGCATTAATTGTCTATGTTTACATTCTACTGACAGGGACACTTAAATTAGCCTTAATCCCAGACTACCTGCATGTCACTATATAACAAATGTAAAGGTTTTGATTGAAATTATAATTCCCCACACATTTTAGTTTTAAAACAAGACAAGCCAACAGTCACTGCATTAACTCCTCCCCAAACTCATTGAGGACATTTATGATGGTAGCCCAAGATGTAGTGTTTTTATTGAGTTTATTTCTCAGGAACCAGTTGTTCCATTTAAATTTATATTAGCAGACAGTTAATAACACAGAAGCAGACAGTGGGATCAACCAAATAAATTGCAGGATTTCCGAAGGGGGAAGTTCTATCTCTCTGCCACAGGCATCCTAGGTTCTAATTCTAATAATAATGCTACCATTTCAATCATATTACATATAATGCATAAAATAAAATACTCCAAAAGAATGGAAAATTCATTTGGAAAAATCAAAAATCAAATCTGAAAAAAGATGCTAGAGATGCTAAGCAGTAAAACTTAAGTTGTGCTTACCCTGGCCCGTTCCAAACTTCTTCTTTGTTCATGAAATGCAGCTGGACTTTTCAGAGCTGTTAAAAGACAACAACTCAATTACACAGCTTAATTTCTCACATATATAAACATTTATTGTTAACAATCATCAAATCATTTGGACAACATACTGAAGGAAGCTATTTTGACATATGCTTAACTGTATCCTGCACTGATTTAATCTACATTGCTGTATTTTGCCAATTTAAACCAGGGTTCGGCAACCTTAAACATTCAAAGAGCCACAAAGGTCCTAATCGGAAGCTGCCCATTCAATTCTGGAGCCAACTGGAAGTCCAGTTCCCCCACCATAGAGTCTCCTCTTAGCGTGGTGTTCTTTTTCCTCTACCTGTCCTAACCAAAAGCTCTATCAATTGTGGAGCCAACCAGCAACAGGGAGCCGCAGCAGAGGGATGAAAGAGCCACATACGGCTCCAGACCGCAGGTTGCTGACCCCTGACTTAAATGATGAAGTTTACTGTCTGATCACTAAAATACTGGACCTAAATGTAGGCAGATTAGCAAAGTATACATCAAGAGAAGGAGCTAATAAAGTATTTCAGCAATAAAACATTTGTTTACCTGAAAAATTTATATATAATCATATATAAAGATATATAAAGTCTTCTAAAAATATCTGATGACAATACAATCCTATGTATTTAGATTTAATCATTTACAGAAAGAAAATACAAATAAGTGAGGAATACACTTTAAGCATGTTTAACTAGCAAGATAAAGGTGACAGAAAATTTAAGAATTAAGTTCAACAATGAATAAGTTTTTCCACAATGGACAATTGCCAAAGTAACTCCTATTTTAAGCCACTGAGCCCCCCTACTTAGCGGTATGCAAGTTTTGGAAGAATCCTCTGGCAGGGCTTTCTCTGCCAGACTTTAATAAGTTCACATTGGTTGAAAAAAAATTGGTTGGCAACAATTTTTTCTCAGTACATTATCATCAGAGGCAGAATACAATTCAGCTCTCTGCTTTTACCGCTCCAAGGAGAAAAGAACATAGAAGAATACACCATACAGTTGTTTATTTTGTTGAATGAGCCGGTCAGGGTGATTTTTACATCAGTAAACTGAGCAGGTGATATTGTTTCGTTATACATAGTGAAAAAAAATCTGACATATCTTAGTAGATTGATAGGCACTTATTCATTAACCATTTTGGGGGGAAAATCTGACTTGATCTAGCCTGAGTAAAAGGCAAAAAGAAAGAGAAAACTATAGATTAATATCCATTTAGAACAGAGATATTCTCATATAATGTTCTGAAACAATAATATAAACTAATTAATTAGTCCTTTTATTTAAGTGAAATCAATTTCTGGTTTAGAAAGGCTTGCCGATGAACGTAGTTGATGTACTATGAATGAACCAACAGCTAAGATAAAATTAAGTATCCTATTGGAACCAATGGGGAAAATGTTTATAGTGTTTTATATAGTATTCTATATAAAAATATAGAATGAGTATTTGAGGAGGGAAATATTCTAGGGGAGGGAATCTTCACTGAATGAGCTCATAAAAATACCTTCTATTGCAAGTATGCATTCCAAAATGCTTCCATTGTAGAAGGAAGATGTTAATTGTATGTGAGAATGAACTTGGGAGACAAAGTGAAGATCTGCACCCAGGCCAATAGTCAGATAAGAGGCAGCTTAGCCAACAGAAGAAATATGAGTGTGACAAATTAGTTTCTTGTGCTGCAAAGGTGACAGAGAAGAAATGTACTTTTCAGACATGGATGATTCTGTTAATAAAACTTTACAATAAAATATAGTTGGTTCACCTGAGTCTGCTTCTTGTATGGAGTATCGCCCAAGACTAATAGAGCAAATCAAGTGGCTTGTACGATTGTGTTGATTGCTGAGGCTTCTGAGTTTTATATAGAGGTAGTCCTCGACTTACGACCACATTTGAGCCCAAAATTTCCATTGCTAAGCAAGTTAAGTGAGTTTTGCCCCATTTTATGACTTTTCTTGTCACAATTGTTAAGTAAATTACTGCAGTTGCTAGAAACACAATTGCTCAATAAATCTGGCTTCCCCATTGACTTTGCTTGTGGGAAGTTGCAAAAGGTAGTCACATGACCTTAGGATACTGCAACCATCATAAATACATACTAGTTGCCAAACGTCCAAATTTTGATCATGTGTCCATGACTTATGACCATAATGGTCGTAAGTATCACTTTTTTCGGTGTCGTAGTAACTTTGGTCACTAAACAAATGGCTGTAAGTCAAAGACTACCTGTAGTTGATTTGTAATGCTGCATATTGCTTGGACTCACTCTATGCCATATAAATCTATTTAGTAAATAAACAGACAGACATATTCTGAAGTAAGAGATGAGAAATGATGGATATTGATACTGGAGATGGCTTCCTTGCTACTGAAGGCCCAATATTCACCAAGGCATGTAGTTTCTCAAATACGTGAGCATAGCCAATTTGACTCCACCACAGAATACATTTCCTACCTACTGGGAAACCTTTTGCTGTTATTCAAATTGTATTCAATTTGTGGGGTTATGGTCAAAGCAAGGTAAGGAATGATGCAATAGGCGCAGAATCATATAATAAAACCGGCAGTCAGGATGTCCCCATTTTTTCCTGGTTTGTTTTTTTGGGGAGGAAAGGGTGGGATAGAAAAAGACTTCTATCATAGTTTTGCTATGATTCTCATCCCAACACTTCCAATTTTCAATAAAAGCACCACTGAATTTTGGCAACATGTTCTGACATGATTCCAGAGGATACAGAAAAAAAGGAGATTCAAAGGCCATATGTAGTCATGAGGCTGTGGTCCCATATTTTATAAACAAATGGATCTGAGCAATGTGGCCTATTCACTTTTCCAAACCATTCAGAAGATAACTAACTAGCAAACTACCATTTAGCAAACATCCCAAAGAGAAATGCTTTCATATCCTCATGAGAATTTCTTTGGAAAAACACTCTGGTTTATAATTCTTTCTAGTGCTGGCACTGCGACAAAGAAAATTTCATACTTGACTTTTGAAAATGCCAAAAATGAACAAGTTTCTCTCTATTTCTCCCATAACATTTTCACAAACGAAGACAGAATCTGAAAAGAATCAGTGAATATGTATTATCAGTTTCCATCTATTTTTCTTGGTTGCGTAAAATGGACATAATAAATGCCCCATAAATGTCAAACAACTTTACCATGTCAGCTATAAAGCTGAAAGGCTTTTGAAAAGCACGGCTTTAATATACTTTTTAGTTATAAGTAGGAAGTTATGAACTGCAGTAACCCATGTCTAGCTATTCTAGGAGGATTATTTAACTTTTTCAAGTTTAGTTTTTTAAGAATGCTTATTTAAGATTTAGAATAAGATTAAAGCAAATTATTGAGTGTTGCTAAACAACAAAGAAAAGAAGCTAAGTATAGATTTTACTGGCTAATAAGCAGATAGTCTTACGTTCTACTCAATTGTGATTTCATGCCATGTTTTCTAGGGAATTAGAGAAAAATACAGCACATATAAATGTTTTAATTTAAAAACTGAAATGTAATTTAAAAATAAGACCCAGCAGCATAATGATTCCAAATCAAGGGAATGAGTCCTGTGGTATATGTGATGCAGCTCAATTAACATCTCCCAACATTTCTCACTACAGATAGTCCTTGAATTACAACAGTTCATTTAATGATCATTCAAAGTTACAACAGCGCTGAAAAAAGTGATTTATGATTGTTTTTCACACTTACAACCGTTGCAGCAACCCCGTGGTCATGTGATCAGAATTTAGACACTTGGTAATATTTAGGATGGTTGCAGTGTCCCAGGGTCATATGACCATCTTTTGTGACTTTTTCACAAACGAAGTCAACAGGGAAGCCAGATACTTAAAAACTATGAGAAATGCAGTGATTCATTGAATAAGTGCGGCAAGAAAGGTCATAAAATGGGGCAAAACTCACTTTTGGGCTCAATTGTGGTCGTAAGTTGAGGACTACTTGTATTGTCCAAACTAACTGAAATACTGAAGTCCCCTAGAATGGCACAAGGTCTGGAAGGAGAACAATGTATTCTTTAGTTCCCCCAAAATGTCCCATTCTTGATTCACTGAATTTTGCATAATCTTTCACATCACCATTAGAGGAAAGATGTAGACCTCCCACAAAATATTGCAGCATGAACTATTTTTCTTTTGGTTCTTAGGCAGCAATATCCAACTGTGTTTCTTTGTTATATAAATAAGAAAAATATAATTTTTAAATATCAATCTTTCAAACATTAAAGTTCTTTGATTTCCCAACCTAGCTTTATCATAAAAGACATGATAAAATATAAAAGGTTTATTTATAGATTTGATCATTAACCAAAGGGTTCGTTATTCTAACTTTAACAAGTTAAAAGTGTTATCACAATTAATATTTAAAATTCCCAAGGCCTCTTTCACTGGGATTTTGAAGGAGGGTCTTTAAATATATTATTGCTTTTTTGCCATTATGTATAAATTTATTAATCATTTTTCTCCTTTTTTCAAAAAAAATTGATTACACATGTAAATATAAACTGCAAACAGAAAAATACAAAAAAGGGGGGCACTGTGGGCTGAATGTGGATGTGTGAAAAAGGAAAAGAAAGGAAAAAGGAAAAGAGAAAGAAAAAAGATGTAACTTTCTCCTTCATTCCAGCAGGTAAAAACAATTTTAATAGCTTATCATCATCTTAAAATTAAATATAATCTCTCTTCTCCCTGCAGCTCATTTCTCAAATAAGGAAACCAAAGTCCAAATACTCCGCCAATCAATCTTTGTCAACAAAAGTCCAGTATGGGCCATCAGATATAACTGTTTTCTTCTTTTAACTCTGATTGAACAAGCCAATATTATAAACCTTCCCTGATTTTTTAAAAATATATTTTACACCGTCAAACAAAGTCTCAGAGGTAATTTGCTGCTCGTCTGTTTCAAAGCAAAAAAAAATGTTCAAACTTCAATAGATTTATCTTGTATGCATAAGTAAAATTTATCATTTTGTTTGTCAACTTTTTAAAAAGTCCTTTCAAATCTTAGCAGAATTCATTTGCATATCAAGAAGAAAAAAATGATCCAAATCAGTTTCCTGATTTAATATCTATTCTTATTCCTTTAGGGAATAAATCATCTACCAGATCCATTTGTATTACATTTACATCATCTTTCAAATTAATTTTCATTGCATCCATTGCAGCTCATTTTTTTACAACTTTATTAGAATATGCTGTCAATTTTATCAAGCATCTGATCCATAATGCCCAAATGTTTAGCTGAAAGGAATTCAAAAGTTTGCACTAAGGAAGGGGTAATACCTTCTCTCTACCTCTTCTCCTAAAGAAGTAGTCTTTACACCCAATGATTTTAGATAACTATTGTCATGTCTTCAAACTTCTCTTTTTAGGCTGAAGTGTTATAAAAAAGATGATGGTCAGTCTACAGTTAAGAACATGGAAGTAGTGAATTATCTAAACCTCTTTCAGTCAAGTTTAGGGACAGAGTTTCATGTTTGTAATTGAGCTGTGTTGGAATTGGAATGGAGGTGACACATCCAGCCTTGTGAACCTTGAACTCTAAGTAGCTTTTGATACTATTGACCACACTATACTTCTGCAAATCAGAGCCTCTAAGAGCCCTCAGTGATGCATGATTGACAATAACCACACACCCTCCCAAAGTCTTGGCTAGTGTCAAACCTGAAACCCAAGTGGTCATATTTCCGAGCGGGGGAATCTCTCTCCCAGGGCATGCATTAAGCATGCCTGACTGGTACCCTTATCCACAATTACATTTGGATAAGGGAAAATTATTTACACACCAACCTTGCATTCAAAAGCAGCAGCTGGAGCCTACTTTGCTTCAAGCAATTTAACCATAATATGATTCCTCAGAGGTTTATGAAAGCCTATTATTAAAAAGGAGACAAAGTCCCTGCACACAATCAATATGTAATTTATCCCTTCAAATTCTGATGAAGTGGAAAGCATATATCAATGCAATTTACAATTACAGCACAGAACCATAAAACAATATTTTAAAATGTGACAATTGTTATACTGTACATAAGTACATTCTTTAAAAAATATGTGCCTATACAGAAGAGAAAGTAAACCTAGATAAAGTAATGCATCATTAGTCTAAACTTATTATTAATTATTTATTAATATCAAATTTATATGCCACCCATCTCAATATCCAAGCAACTCAGGGTGGCTTACAATACATTAAAAGCAAAGATATAAAACATTAACAGGGATGAATAAACTTTAAATTCCCCTTTTTATTTTTTAATATTCACAGATCCGAGAGCTATTTTTAAGTACATTTTTGTAACAAATAGATAAAAAAAATATACATATTTACACAATAGCTAGACCTTACAAAACAAAAATGGGTGCAGTTTAATCTGAAAGGAAATCCTTTCTGAACTGCAAATGAGAAGTGTGTAGCTCATTCTATAAATGCAACAAAGTATGGATGTGTTGAGCACCTGATTGCTCAACAACCTTTAACACCCTTTCTGCAGGCTTCACACCAAATATCAAAACAAGGGAAGAAATGTCTGCTTTCCTACTTGCTAAAACATTATTACTGCATCTAATACCTAAAATTCTCGCTTTAGCATTCTGTAGTATTTTTTCACGTGTGACAGTAATTTTAAAAACGTTAGTTAATCCTGCGTGTATTCATTTCATCAATCTCTTTGTATCTGTCTCTGATGAACTGCTGTAACACCTCTCTTTGCAAAATCTGTTATCTAGTGGCTCTGATGTACAGTAGTTCTTCAGCATGACAGTGTTGCAAATGCAGAAAAATTAACCTTGTAATTTTCCTATAAACATACTACTAAGCAAGTGTGCAGCCATGTTCGAAGTTCAAGCAAGATAGTAGTGTATTAAACAGGAAACCTGCTAAGGAAATGATAACATGCATGCAATATTTAAAATGTTTTCAGGATGGCAACATCTTTGCATAAGATGTTTTTGTATAGTACTACTTTTTACATTATGCAAATGTTCAGAAAACAGTTGCTAGCGTGTTGAGTATCAAAAATTAAAAATGGCCTTTTTCGCCCAAGCTCAGAGAAGCTTCACAGAGAATAAACTCTTTCTCTCATCTGAGTAGAAATGTCTCAAAGAGGAATAACGAATTTTAAGTTGTACTTACGAGGCATGATCCCTTGACTAACCAGCTCTTCACGTGTCCGTCGCTGCTGGAGCTTCAACTGTAGCACTGCATAAGGCAGACAAGAAGTGAGGAGCAAGTTACTGTAAAATATACTGTTCAGAGCACATTTTCCTGTTCATTTTTATTTTCTTCTATCTCAAGAACATTAGCAAGGAGCACAGAAGCTGTAATCCCCACCCAACACTTGCAAATTGCAGAAGTGGCCTCAGCAACAAGGTTTCCGTATTCTGCAGCGGACGCCGGGAGAGGAAGTTACAAAGCATTTAGTAAGTTGATTTAAAAAATCCACAAAGTATGAAAATTACTCAAGAATTCCTATAGCGACAAATAGGGTTGCAAATCATGAAACTAAAAAACAAGATGAGACTACACAAACTGATACTGTACCAGTAGGATGTTATCAAAACAATGGTTGCTGAAGTATCACTTTATATACACCTAGTTCAGAAATCCCCTGGAACATGCCAATTTGGGATAATTCACACAATCCTCCCATCTTGGCACCTGGATAAAGATGATCGATGATGAAACTTAAGTCTGGAAGTTAACAAGGTTACCTACTTCTGACATACACTAACACTTATCATGAGCCGATATCCATGAGGCTTATTTCATCCACATCTATGAATCACACTACTGTTGCTCCTTCCTTCCTTCCTTCCTTCCTTCCTTCCTTCCTTCCTTCCTTCCTTCCTTCCTTCCTTCCTTCTGTATTTGCACGCATGCATGTTCATTCCAGAAATCTCTTTGTTATTGTTGTTTTTATTTCAAGAGTTGAGAAACATTTTAGGTCTTCCTGAGTAGGAACAAATAGCACAGAAAACATTTTTTGAATTTAAAGTATTGATTCAATCCTACCATTCAACTTCTTGGTCAAAGGCATTTATTCTTCATTGTCAAAGAACAGAAAAAGCACAATCTAAAATATTCCATATATATTCATAGATGGGCTTATCTAACAGATGAAATTTTAACCAAAATGCAATGAAAAATATGCCACCTGTAGATAAGCTAACTCAAAATTTTCATGATTTAATTTTCACAATTGGCTTATCAATGGTGATACATTTTTTTCATGCTATTTTGGTTTAAACTTTGAGGGTTGGTTTACCCACGGATGAATTTATCTGCAAATATTCATGGGCACTTTTAAAAACTATTACCATATAAAGGTCCATGAGTATACTGATAGTCTTTGCTTATTGACTGCCTGTTCAGTGATCATTCAAAGTTACAACTATGCCGAAAAGGGAGATTTATGATCAGTCCTCAAAGTTACAGCCATTGCAGTGTTCTGCAGTTACATGCTCGCTGTTTGTGAGCTTCACTGCTGACTTCCAACAAGCAAATTCAATGGAAGCGAGAAAGAAGTGACAGCGTAATTGACATCATAAGTCAGCATAGTCATTTCACATTTCACTTTACAATCACACCGCTTAGCAACAGAGTTGCTGGCCCCAACTGTGGTTGGTAATTGAGAACTACCTGTATACTCACAGATAAGCCTATCTATGGATAAGCCTATTTGTTTGGTATATTTTGAGATCTAAAATTCTCATCTTATCCATGAGTACTGTATATATGGTACCAGTATTCCTAAGAAAAAAACTAGAAAACCATTTTCCTACATAGTTTCATAGACATTAAAACTGTAATATTTCAGTTGTGAAGTTGTGACATTTGCAACGTAAGAACTGCAAGGAAGTCAGAATTTTTGACTGATCTGGTTTAATAGCCCCTCTCCTAGCATGAACAAACAAAACAAAGCAGAAGTGTGTCTATCTTGATAAGCAGACCATAATATTTTTTTCCTTATGAGTTTAACTTATTCAGGAGCAGTAAGCCTTGATTTGGACATCATAATATGGAACACACAACATTTACCAAGTCAGGGATCATCCTCCAGGGGTGAAATCCAGCAGGTTCTGGAGAACCGGTAGTGGAAATTTTGAGCAGTTCGGAGAACCGGCAAATACCACCTCTGGCTGGCTCCAGAGTGGGGTGGGAATGGAGATTTTGCAATATCCTTCCCCCAAAAGTGGGGAGGAAATGGAGATTTTGCAGTATCTTTCCCCTGCCACGCCCACCAAGCCACGCCCACAGAACCAGTAGTAAAAAAATTTGGATTTCACCACTGTCATCCTCGTATATAAAGGAAGGACCAGGTCAATTAAAACATTGGGATTGGATAAGGAAATTAAATCTAATAATTAAATTATTGAAATACATGTAATAATTATACCTGTGTATTTCTCTTCTGAGACATTAAAAAATACAAACTAGCAATTTCTGCAGAGATGCTTGCGGAGATACGCTCTAAAAATTGTGACTAACAATGTACTATTAATATTTATTATGCGGCTATTCCCAATTTGTAAAATTTACAAAATTCGTTCTCAGATACATTTACACTCTAGGCATATTCTGATTAACTGAATAGATTTAGAAAAATCTTTAGAGATGGATAGGTATGATACTTTATTTCAGCAAAAATAGAAACATAGCAGTGCAAACATTTAAATCTACTAAAGCATATTGTTTCTTTATATTTACTCTGAAATGATTTTTAAAAGCACATTAATTCTATATCTGAAATTGTGAAATTACTGATAGTGGCTTCACTTGATTGGTACATTATACTGAGAGGGTGGTTGAAAACTGTAATAACAGTTTGCATAGGAAGTGAAAATACGCATTCAAACTAGATGAAAACATTGAAGACCTACAGATATGCTAAAAGTAATGTTAACTATAGATACAAATTAAAATGATAGTGCTTTTATAACTGCCACAAGGCGGCTGCTTTTCCCACATTCTTATTTTAGAGTACAAAATTCTGTTACATGTTGTAATGTCTGCAAAAGCGGTTTCTTGGTTTAAGCCAGGGTGGATAAAAATCAATGATTTTTTTTAAAAAATCAAAAAATCAGATTTTTTTGATTTAAATCGGATTTTATTTATTTTTATTTAATTTATTTTAATAAAAAACTTTTGGGGTAAAAATCTATCGTAAGATAGTTTTCTATTTAAGATACATAAATAATTTAGTTTATTCAGCATGAAATGGAGCTTAGTTATGTAGCATGAGGCTGTATATTCGGCAACACTGGGACTATCGGTGAGTCAACAGTGGGTCAAAGGAGTAGTAGAGATGACAGTTGCTCTTTAAAAATTATGATTTAAATCGAGTTGATTTAAATCAAGCTTTTTTACTAGTGATTTAAATCATGATTTAAATTGTGATTTAAATCAACTCGATTTAAATCAAATCCACCCTGGTTTAAACTAATCCAATATTGGCTGCTATTGGTATTATTTTTTGTTTTCACTCTCTGGACAAACCAACATCCTGCCTGAGATTCCATACCCTAGTCTTTTAATCAACAGATTGTTCATTGATCACACATACTGGCATTAGATGGTATGAAGTATTTTTTCACTGAATGATTATGAACAGTCACTAGCCTTTCAGTTTTTGCACCAGTCAATTGCAACAATCCAAAATGTATTAAAGCACCTTATTTGGGATGTTCTGTATAGGATTTGTTCAAGCAGGCAAGAGTATTTCAGGTTTTTAGAACCTCTCAGTGTGAATTTTCAGAATAGTGGGCAATGCCTGTTCCTATTCCTATCTTCCTATTTTTGGCAGAATGCAAATAGGATGGATCTCTTTCCACAACGATCAGCAAGTCCTGTACAAGAAGATGGCATCATAAAGCAAAATAGGATGGAATAGACATAGATCTAGGGAACAGAGAGTGTTTTCAAAGTTACATTTAACTTTAACTGGTTCTTTGATAGGTGATCTCTAAATTCAACACAGACTCTGTGCAGTAACCATATTGGATTTTGCCTAAGCTTAAATACTTTTTGGCAACATAAAAGATAAGGCTCTTATCAGGCTTGGTTTTAATGACTGCTACAGTGGATTTAAAATTAAGTACTACCTTAGTAAGGAAGATGGCCTGATTGTGTGAATTCACATGATATTCCAAGAACCTCAATTAGAGATAGGTTTGTGTGGTCCCTTTAGAAATATAATCACATGTCTAAAATCTGCATACATAACAAAAAGGTGCAAATTTAAAAAAAAAGCAGTATCTGATATAAAATGCAATAATTCTCTCGATAAGGGCATGTCATATCTAAAAGCGTTGAAGACTCCAGGAAGGAAATTGGAAGAATCAGCTCCTAGTATAAATGGAAGTTCAAGACCACCATAGGAGAAAATACATTTTTATTACAGGTCCAGCTTTTCCTTAGATAGCTCATTAGCACAGAAAACATGGAGTCCACTCATTCAAAAGGCAGTTGTGACTACCATCAAAGTATTTCCCTTCCAAGTGAGAGTTTGGACAATATGGCTTACCAATTGTTCAAAAGATCCTGTTAAGGTGCTAAGGAGAGAACAAGGGGTACTATGAAATGTCAAAACAAAGAAAGATAAATATATTGCCTTTCAAAATTGATTTAACCAAACTGTGTGAGATGAAATAAAGCTCCTGAAGATATAAGTAAGGTTAAAACTTTAATGACAAGCTCCTTCATTTTTTAAAAATAGTTTTTATTGAACATTTTCCAACCTTAAAAACCACAAGTGAAAAAACAAAGGAAAAAAAGAAAAAAAATAAGACAAATACAAATAGGAAAAACGAACAGCACAACAGTATTACAATTTTACAGCTTTCCATATCAGCATACATATTCTGCTTTTGTAATTCACTATTCAATATTTGCCTTCTCGTAGATTTTAACAATTCTAGTAATAATATAATTATATTATAATAATATAATACTGATTATAACTGTTCTGCTTATACATATTTACATTTATCTTTATATTATAGTCAATGGTTTTAGAACTTTTATTTCTTGTTTTGACTTCTATTCTCTTTCCACTTGTACAGTCTACTCTAGGTTTTATAATAGTCTGATTCTTCTCTTTCTTTTAACTCCATGATCATCCTATCCATTTCAGCACACTCAAATAGCTTTCTAATTACCATTTCATCTGAGAGGGTATTTATTTGTTTCCAGTTTTGTGC